GTCGTTTTCGCGGTACAATGTAGAACACGAACTCCTCGTTCGGTTGGCCGTAGAGCCAGTGCCGTGTTTTCAAATTTTTCGTGCAGGGGCGTTTTAAATTTCTCCAAAAAAACACATATAAGGTATGAATATTGTTATATATATATAAATGAAGATCATTTATTTACAACCACGTTATACGAATAATGTTTTCCCTATCTATAACTTCGGAGCAAGTCACTCATAACTTTTTAACATTCTTTTTCTTCTTCCGGAGGGATCATTACCCGGGATTCCCTCCGAAAATACACCACTGGGCGTGGCGCAGACGATAATTGAGAGAACAACGTCGATTTTATTATTTAACACTCGTACCGCCCCGACGGAGCCGCGTTTAGAAGTGCTGCGCCGAGTGAAAAGACTCCGGTGCTCCTGGTCGCTTGGAAAAAACGCCTTCTTACCAATTAAAATTCGATATAATAATATTTATTAGTGTACATTTTAAGCTCTCATTGATATTCATGATAATTTCACATGAAATATCCTACACATAAATTCACTTGTGCTATTTTCATAATGTCATCATTAAATTTTCACATACTGTGTACAATTAGATAAAATCTACATAATTCAAAAAGTATAATGGAAACATTTCGTTTTGAAAGTAGAATAAAAATACGATTCTTGTACATTTTTTCGCCCCTTTGCAATTCGTGCCCTAGCGTAGACACAGTTTGCCATACCCTTGCTACACCACTGGCTAAGTAAAATTGATTTATATGCATTATATGTATATGTATGTATATTATTATTACTCCATATTCTCCATCTATTTTAACAGTAATAGAGGACAAAAGGGTAAAATCATGACCGTATTAGGAAAAGATTTACTGTTTCAACCCTCAACCGTCCTCAAAATATATTTTCATGTCATGTAAAGAAAAAATAATTCATTAATTACAAAAAGTATTTTTATTTTTTTTAACTTCCCTCTAAATTATTTTTCAAATCCTGATTTATTTTTTATTTTCATGTCTGCAAAAACTATTACGACTAGACAAATTACTATAATCATTGAGTCTATGACCGATTTCAGGTAGTATCCGTCGTCCATTTAATGAGACGGTCATTTTTTGAAATCTTCAATACTTTTTTTGATAGTTAAAAAAAATATGAACAACAATTTCGAATACACGGCTCGATTTACGCAACATTAAGATTTTTATTAAACGGTACGTTATATCGTTATAATTACAACTATTATAATCGTAAGCTTTAAATTTTCACTGAATACATAATATATATTCGAAACACTGAATCGCTATAAATTGTATTGCAATTTTTAAAAAAATGTATATTATCATGATAAGCTAATTAATACTTTCTATAACTGTAACTAAAATATTCACTCATGCTCCTCTTGAATATGATCTTGCATATAAGTAACGACTAGTCTTACATCATCAAAACTGTTTATATTTGTTACTCGTACGTGCTTCGTTTGCAATATTATAGAACCACGAATTTTAAAAACTTTTGAATGCTTACGAAGTCTGTACATAATACCCAAGTAATTTTATTAGATTACCTACCCCAAACAATAAGATAAGATTTTTTAATAAAACCTTAAGAATTGTTCATCACTATGGTTCAATGTAATGTATTTTTTATTCGAATTTATTGACTAGTTTATTGATTTAGATAAATAGTTACCTAACTCGTCACAGACAAATGTAGGTATAATACTAAGTGTAGCCTTATTTACTTTTTAATTAGGACCTAACTTATGATACTACGTCCGTTTCCATATGTATCTACGACGACGATCGACCAGTATATTCGCTCCAAATGCTAATTATATATTATTCATCACTAGGCCATTATGCGTCGATTTTTTTGAACAAAATATTCTCACACAACGCTAAGCTCTAAAAATTAAAAGAATCCCAAACTGTTTTTTTTTTCAACGGAGATAACTTGATTTTAAAAATCATAATTGAAAACACATTTTTAAAGATCAACAACTGACTTGTTGATTAAATCAGTCTTATTTAATCGTGATTATTTTCTTAATGATAAATACAGTAATGATCAAAAAAGTATAATAACATCAAAAGATTCAAAATGATACATACTAAAAAAATATAAAATTATTTTTTGAAGGTCACGGAGCTTAATACTGTGTCGTGTGGTAAGCATACCACTAAATTGACCGACTACACGTAACTATTTTGGTTAAAATAATTATAATTAAAACACGTATAGCATTAAAAAATACTGAAATATGCGTTGTAATAAGAAAAATATAATTTTTTTTTAATATTTATTTTTGTCAGATAATAATTTAAAATAAATTATATTTATTATTAATTAAGTACCTAGATATGAATCAACACATTTATAAAAAATAAAATGGGAATATGAGGATTTCGTACAAGCAAAACATATAACCAAAACTGAAAAAATAGTAATATAAAGTTATACCCAATTCTAAAAAAATACGAAAAAATATAAAATTTTAGATTTAAAAAACTTTTTGCCCAAAAGAAATGTATAGGTAACTTACTCTGCTGTTTTATAGGTAATATTCTATACAAATTGTCAGATGCCAAAAAATCTAATCCTTAATTATACTCGTACGTAACGACTACATGACTCATAAGAACATTATGCACGAGTATCGAGAAAAGAAATTAAAATATTTTCTAATACATTATTATCGACCAGAGGCGTAGCCAGGATTTATAAATAGAAAGGGCTAGGTTAGGTTAGGTTAGGGCTAGGTAAAAAATGCTTTTGGTGTTCACCCATAACCCCCTACCCCAATTTTAAAAAATATATTTCCGGCATTTTAAAATAGTTTTAACATTATTTATTATAATATAATAAATAATAATAATAAATTAACGATGGTCAGCTGCGGTAGCATCACCGCGACATAACATGATATAAAAACTATAGTGATTATAATATTTAAGTGTTAAACGAGAATCGACGCAACGTCCACGTAATCACTGAAAAAATAGTAGTAATAACAGTAAAAGTAATATGTTTATGTGTTAACCAACAAACACCCGTTTTTCGTCAACATTTGTGTTAGTACCAAAGTTTTAAAATATTTAAATACCAAATAGTAGTATACTAGTATTATGTACATAAACACGACCCATAAGGAGGGTTAGGACTATCCCCCTTAGCCTCCTCCTTAGCTAAGTCACTGTTACCGACTGTTTTAGAATAATTCATATCAAATTATATAAATATATGGAATATCTGAAAATGACAAATTCCCTAATAATTTAAGCTAAATTTTTCGTATACATATCTTAATTTTTCAAGTTTTTGCTCTACTAAATTCCATATTATAAAACAAATCAAGTTTCTATGATTTAATGTTAAGGTTAGGTTAGGATTCCTATATTAAACACGGACATCAAATAGAACTACAAGTATAAATAAAATATAAGTTTTTATTGTTATTAATTTAACCACACAACGATGTAATAAATATAAAAATAACTAAACTAATGAACTAACCATGGCTAATAAAATGTTAATACCACAATCATGTGAATGACGTTGAGCTATTGATATACACCAGTTTTTATTAACCTGAACTTTTTAAAACCAACGCCCGTTTAAATTTTCAAAAATCTATAATCCGTCCTAGCATTTTTCGTTTTTAAACTAATTGTAATTGTTTAATTTTTATAATCAGCCATTTAAGTAAAAAAAAAAAAAAAATAAATAATTTTACTTATAAATTTAAATAACAATACTAAAAATTTCTAATTTTTCACCATAAAATAATCACATAAAAAATACATAAACGCCTTGATGATTTCCTGCTAATGAAATTATGTTTGGCTCAATGTAAGTCAGTATCAATCTTAAATCTCCCTTGTCAAATATTTCTCATCCTTCCTTGATTTTTTTTGAGTTGTTGTTGAATCGCAATAAATCCTTTTTCGACTGGGTACATAGGTAGACATCGGTGAAAATAATATAATTAGTAATTCCACTACTTTCTAGAGTTGAGTTTTTGACTTGGCCCAAAACAACTCATATAGTTAAAATGTAAGTGACAGAAAAATAACTCCCCCTCAACTCAAAATAAAAAATGTTCTCACGGATGCGGCAACCTCCTCGTAGAAAATCACTACTAAATAATTTTCGTTTCACATATTATTAGACATTATGATACTTTCATTACATTCTAAGTATCTAAATCCTACGGTCTTGCGATGTAAGTATGCACGGGACCGCCGCCACCGTTCCTTTGGTTTTAAAATGAACCGCACATTATTTGCTCTCGACCGATGTACAGTGCCACATGCGAGTGCGTGTGTTAAAATTATTTGTCCATTTGTGTTTTGAAATATTGTCACTAAATCTGCCCACACACAGTTTTTCTCTGTTTTTGCGGCGCACCCGTATACAATACGCAGCACATGACCAATTCGTAAACTTTATCACTGGCATACTACCAAACTATTTATCTCAATCACCAAATGTGTTACGTGTGTACAAGCTTCCTAACGCATATATATTATTATATATATTATTTTTACGGCGTTTCACGATCGCGCGATTATAAAACTGTGTACGTTGTCCTCGTAACGTTTATTCAGTTATACTGAGTTAAACGCCAAAATCCATTATCAAAAACAATTTTTTTTTTTTTTTAATGTTTATCTCGGGATCTGTGACCCACATATGAACCCGTATTACTATAGTATTATACAGTAAACGAACGAAAAGAATAAAGACAAATTTTGTTTACTGCTCTACCTTCCGCGTTAAATGAACCGTTAAACAATCCAATATCGTCCTAGCATTAGCACGGTATGCGCTCCAACAACTGCGAATGCATTTTCTTTCGGTCGACAAATCGTTTTCAAATATTTTATTTGTCACAATAATAATTATGAATAAACACACTCCCCACACACACACACACACACACACACACGTTACGAATATCGATAAATAATACAACTTTTTTGTTTGCATATTTTCAGGAGCAAAAATGTGTCAGCGTTCGTTTTGAAATCAGCTAAACGACTTGGAAAATAAATATTCAGAATCGTCCACGTATTCAATTTGTCGACGTCAATATATTATGAATATAATAAAATATATTATTATTATTGTTAAAATACTTAAGTAGAATTAATTAATGTTATACACAAAAAAACTTTGTTATTTCTACTAGAAATTAGTATGAATTGCTCAGAATATATAAGTGGAATTTAAAATTTCGTATAGGACATGTTCAACGAGATATGTAGAATTGTATACGCCTAAAAGGCTTTTATTTTGATTTTGATTTTTTTATTATTGTTAAAATTTATAAATTTATAAAATTTAATTTTAAAAATGTAATTGTATTATTAAATGTCTTTATAGGTAGGTATTTTATCGCTTTAGAATAATTGCGCGTAACGTACATTATATTTTTCTACGAAAATCGATTCTAAATAACTAATAAAATCTTTATAACATTAATTAATAATGATAATAATTAAATAATCACTCATTTATAATAATATACATTTGGTAGAGCTTCATTTTAAGAATTAACGATTTGGATTAAATATAATTTCACTATACAAAATAATATGATGTCTAAACGATAACTATATTAATAAATTAATTGCAAACATTTTTTACACAATACAATACAAAATCTAAGGGACGTGCACCAAATCCCATGATTAGTGTAAATTTTATTTTTAAATAATTGTTCTACTTAAATGTTAATCTAGATATTCAGTATTAAGACGAAATTAAACTAATCATTATTTTTATTTTTTATTTATTTATTTACTATCTATTTGTTCAATAGCGTTCCAATATAATTAAGTAAAATTAGATCACGGAAATTGCATAGATAACCTATGTCATATATATATCACATTGTTAAATGAGATACTTAATGACTATAATAATATAATGAAGTTCAAATGGAATTAAATCACTGTATCTAAAATTTCAACAAAATACATATCATAGTGTTAAATAGGTTTGAACCGGGGTTTGAACATAGCTAGTATATTGTAATAATTCTCAACGACTCACTGGCAATCCAATAAGCGATTTTACATTATTTGCAAGTTTTTATAAGGGTTCACGAAAACAAAAGGGGACATTTTGAATCAGGACCAAATCCATAATTATAACTTAAATATTATGTATTATTATTATATTAGTTTATTATTAAATAATTTTAAAGTGTTAAATTTTGAGTAACATACATTAGAAATTATACGAGCTTTAAGCATTTTCACGTTTTCTTAAAAACTTAATAAAAATTATAAAATATTTATATAATATAAATGTTATATATTAAGTATATATATATATATATATATATATACATATTTATTACATATATATTTATATTTATATCCCCATTATTGTTTTAACTGTTTCATTAAGTTTCATTTTACTTTTTAGAAGTGCCTTGAGTTATCTTTAACTTTTACATTTGTTACCTATCAATTGATAGACAATTTTAATATAATTTATTCTTGCATTTAAATTTGTTTTTATTTACTATGTAAAAAGTTAAATTTAAAACCTACGAAAGTTAAATGTGCCTTAATGCGCTTAGGCCAAATTAAGTTAATGATTTTTTTTCTCAAAATACTTTGAAAACAGCATAATTAATAATTTATTTATTTTTACTTTAGAATAGGGTTTGGAAACAGTGTATTGTTTGGCATTTATTAACAACATAATAATTACACTTTTTTTTTATTAATGAACAAGAGTTATAATTTTCACAGAATTTGCAATCAAGCATAAATTCGGATTCCTAAAGTATATATTATACATTAAATTTAATCTAATTCATGTTTTGTGTCAATAAAAGAAAATACCTCAAATAATACATTTTTCCAAAACCCTGATCCAAAAATCGCTGCCATTTAGTAATTATATTTTATATTGAGTAATCCAATACTATAATACACACTTACATATTAAAATTAATTTGTATTTGTATAATAATTGTACCCTTAACTCTAGTATTCATTATGTTAATACTACAGTTCTTACATTTTCGATTTTTATGCTATGTTTATAAGTTGAACAAATAATAGCACAAATAGTTTTATTTTACTCATAATATACCTAGCCTATTATTCTAAATTAAATATATATATATATATATATATATAAATATGTTTTGTAAAAATTCCTAAACCTAATAAATTAAAATATTTATGTTAACATCATTTAAATTGATGGTGCAAACAAAAAAAAAAAAGTTTGTTACATGTACTATTTTTTTTTAAACTACATATAGAACTTAAAATTAAATACTCATAATAATGATCAAACAGTTCCGATGTCGTGTATTGTATCGTATATTTTTTTTTTGTACATGCGATGTAAATAAACTGTTGAGTAGTATGTAAATTGTTATCATTCATAGGAACCACAAATAACATGTTCAGTATTCATAAAATAATACTATCTAAATAAATTCACCAACTACTAGAATACAACTTAATAAAATCATAAATGCTTTAAACTATACAAATAAAAAATGTATAATATCATAATTTTAATTTGAACACTTATCTTTTTTTTGTAACCTATAAAACAAAATCATTACTTTTTATTTTGCCTTCGTTAGAACATTACAGCAAAAATCATTACTTAATTTTATTATATTTATAATTATAATTTATAATAATATATATTTTATAATTTTATTATATTTCATCATTCATTACTTAAAATTTACATGTTTATCATAAATAAAATATTGCATTAACATTTAATTTAAACTTTAATAATACAAATAAATACAATGAAATCAGTAATCAATATAAATACACTATAATATATTTATTTTAACTTAAAAGGTTAGCAAAGTTAACAAAATAATTAATCACTTCATCATTAATTAAAACTAGTGTTTTAATCATACAGAATATAAAAATAAAAATCAAATATTTACAAAAATTATATGATTTAAATTGATTTATTTTTATACTATAAAAGTAATTTTATCATTTAATAATATAATGGTGGGAGAAGTTCGTATGACTGAATGTTTAACAATAAAAATATTCAAATACATAATAGTAATCAATAAATGAATATACAATTATAAACTAGTCATTTTCATAATCAAATCAACTTAATGGTATAAGTAACACCACTTACAAATAAATCAAAATAAAAAATATTATACAAATATAATTATTACCTATATCTTACTAAAATTGTTGAGTATATATTTTAACATTTATAATCAAAATGTCTAACTTTAAAACCAAAATATAATATACAATGTTTTTATAGTGGTTTCTATAGTTGTCATAGTATAGTTGTCATGTTATTTAGCTATGATTTAATGTTTCTTCGTGAAATATAAAAAAACAAAATACTATTGAAATGCATTTATATAATACATATATTACAAAATGTATAAATGTAATAATTATAACAAACAATAGTTACTGAAAATAAAAATAAAGCTAAAAATTAATAATTTTAAAAAATTCAAATAAATACAAATTGTGAAAACTTACACATATATATTTTTAACATATTTAGTTATTTCCTAGCATTATATTTTTTATCACATTTCGGTGATTGCTTTAACTCCTATATGATTTCCTTCATCTGAATAGTATTTTTTTAGTTGTTCAATTAAAGATTGCAAAATATTACAATCCCTTGTAATATTTTTCATTATTTCATCCAATATTTTCATATCGAAAAAACCAAAGAAACAATCAACAAAAATATCTTTTACAGAAAGCTTATGAATATTTGACAATAATATCTCAATACGAACCATCAATAAGCAATTCATATTGTGCAATATAAACTGAGCCTTACTATCTTTAAATGTGACACAATGCATATCACCAACATACAACATATTCTTCATAGCCTTACTAATAAAGTAAACATCATCTAACAGAGATTTTAATAACAGTTCTACATCTCTTGAAGTAAAACATATTTGCTTGTAGAACTTTGGATTGTATTTTGATAAAATCCAATTTATTCCAAACTTTGATACTTCATTTGGAATAATGGTCTTATCTGTGGTCTTAATAGTAAATGAAATATCCTCTACTTTAAGAAATGAGTTATCATTCAGAATAGGTAAATAAGTTATCATTAAAACAATATTATTATCTAAAACATTGAAAATCCATTCTCTATTTGTGCACTTATGTAAAGTTAATTTGTTTTCAACAAATTGATTATTCCACCTTACTAAGAATTCCATGACTTCATTGCTCAAAATTTCTTTATCAAAATCTTCTTCTATCTCATCTACTTCAATATAATTATCTAATAAAGATTCTTCGCTAATTATATTCTTTTTAATAACATCTTTTTTAATCGGACTATTTTTTTCTACTTCGTTTTCCTTAGAAAAATCTTCCTTTATCGAATTATGAGTAATGGATTTAGAAATAAATGTTGAACATGATAGGGGAATATTATCATCTCTATTTGAATAACTTCTTTTACGATTTCCTATAAATGATTGTTCATTATTATAATGCATATCATCAGAAATTGACATATTAGCTATACTTTCAATACAAGTGTTACTTGTAATTACATCTATGCTATGTTTAACATTGTTGATTTTATTATCAGTGATTTTTAGAGATTTGTTATTGATTTTTTCTTCATTTAATCCATTATTTAAAAAAATAGTGTCTGAAGGTAGTCTATTAACATTTTGCTCCAATTCAATTATGTTTTCTTCAGGTGGATTTACGAAACTTTGATTTTTATTAACAGAGTTAGATACTTTTTCAATGTGTGATATATTATTTAATGGAGAACATGAGGGTAAAGTTAAGTTTATTTTTTCAGAAAACACGTTTGTCTTAATACAATCTTTTGATTCGAGTTCAATTGATATATCCATTTTATTAATACTATCAATAATTTCTGAATTATTATCAATTTTCAATTTACTTTCATTGTCATTTTTAACAGACAACTGTTCAATAGGTAGTTCTGTTAAATGTGTTAAAACTACAGACTTTTTTGATTTTTTTCTAAATGGTGATTTAAATTCATCTTCATTCACATTAAGCAATATAGATTTCTGTTCAATTTTTGATATTGGTATTCCTTCATAATTTGATTCATCAAATTGTTGAATATTACTGTTGTTGGATATACTAGATATATTATTAATATTTACTTGAGCAACAGAAGCAGCAGACTTTTCATGATTAAATTCATAACATTCATTACTCTTCAATGAATTATTGCACATACTGTCATCTGAAAATTTATTTTGAGCCAATAAAGACATTGGACCTACTGTTTTTCTTGAATAATCCTTCTTTTTAGTTTCTTCAATTACTGCAGATGCATCTGCCACATTTTCATCTTCAGAAGAATGTGTAAGATCAAAATCTGATATGGATTCAATTAATTTTGTAGAATAATTGTCTTGATTGTTTTCTTTTACCATGGTAGATATATTTAATAAATCTTCATTTTCACAAGATTGAGTTAGGTTTAAATTAGATGTAGGTATAATTGATTTTCTAGAAACTATTTGTTCATTATTTTTATCTATTGCAGATCCATCTGCTACATTTTTAGAAGAATGACTTAGGTCAGAAACTGATATGGATTCAATTAATCTTGTGGAATAATTGTCTTGATCATTTTCTTTTACTGTTGTAGATATATTTGATAAATCTTCACTTTCACAAGTATGAGTTTGATTTAAATTAGATGTGGGTACAATTGATTTTCTTGAATAACTTTTCAACATACTTTCTTGTGTCATTGCAGGCATAATTTTCATTGTTCTTCTTGAATATTTTTTTTCTTTAATTTCTTCAAACATTAATACCTTATTTTCAATATATTTATTTTGATCTAATACAGATGTATGAGCATGAAATGTTTCTTTAAGTATTTCAACTGGAACATGTTCCAGTAATTCTTTTTCTGGAGATGTATTTTGAACAAATGATGAATCTGTAGGAACCATAAATATTTTAGATTTATTATTAAGATAGTTTAAATCATTAACATTTGATTTATCTAATTTATTTTCTACTTCAACAATTGAATTATTTTGTTCATTCACAATTGATTTGGAGTTATCAACATTTAAATAAATAATATCATATTCATTTTCATTTAATGATGGATCAACATCCATAGACATAACACTTGATGATAATTTTTCTAATACATCCTCATCATTTTTAACATTTTTTGATAATGATGAAATATTTTGATTATTAGAATAATTTATTTTTGGGCTTTTAGCATGTAATAATCTAGAATCTAATACATCCTCATCATTTTTAACATTTTTAGAAGAGGATGAAATATTTTGATTATTAGAATAATTTATTTCTGGGCTTTTAGCATCTTTTGTTTCGATTTCATGAGATACCTCCATATCCGTATCATAATTTTGATTATATTCATAATCATAATCCAAATCACAATTATTTTCAAACGTCTGTTTATCAGATAATTCTGTCAATTCCATACTTAATAATTTACTATCATTATTAGACCAATAAGATTTTAGAGATTTACTAGTTATACATGTTAATTCCATGTTGCTTGATTGAGTATTCGAACAAGAATGATCCATGATATTTGATTTATTATTTGCACAAGTAAAATCCATATTACTTAAACTTATGTTAGATGTATTTTTTTCCAATTTATTATGCAATGAAGTAGGTTTTGAGGTAGATAGAGTCATCAATTCATCACTTAGTTCTTCATCAATCACAGTCTTAGACATGCAAGTAGAACTTAAATCTGACTCATTATCAGCATGTAATATTTGACCAACTTTAATTGCTTCTGTAAATTCCATATTATACTCCGAATAATCTGAGTTGTAATCAAAATGTTCAGAACCATTATTATCAATTGTATAAATAGTATCTGATAATATTTTACCAGATAATGCTTCAGTCATTTCCATATTATCACTTGGACTTTCATACTCAATAATAACGCGAGCATTATTTTCTACATTTGTACAATTTGTTGATTCTAAAATCATTTGACCATCAGATTTTTCTAATTTTCCTGATAATTTTGATTTATCAGTATTAGAAGAATCTGACAAAATTGAAAGGTGTTCATCAAACATTGGGGCTTGGTTTACAGTCAGTGACGTAGCACCTGTATTATACATTTTGATTTTGTTCATCCCAGAAAAACTTACTTTTCTTTTGGGCAAACTGGCAGTATTTTCATCAGAATCTGGATCCACTGGTTCTATTTCTTTCAAAGGAGGTCGTACTTTGGGTGGCTTTAGTATTGAACTAACAGACTGTCTGCTAGCCATTATAACACTGAAAAAAAAATGTTTTACAAATAATATAAGAGATAAAATATAAATTCACAATAATAAAAAGGTGGTCTATGTAAATCCAGCAGTGTCATGTTAGCTACTTGTTTTGAAAAAATAATTATTATATAATTTGTTACTTTTAAATATTTTTAATGAAATTACTTTATTCGTTAGTCAAATACTATTGTAATGAAATACATTTTTAAATTAAAAAAAATAACTATGTCACTAGCCAATTATAATAAAAAATTAAAATTAAAAATGTACTTAAAATAGGTTTCAGATGATAATACATGTTTTCTATTGCGTTTTATTTGCATAGTAAGTAATTGTTACGGAAATCGACGAAACCCCGTATTCACGACAGGTAGCCGCGTTAAAGTGCACTTTCAGGGGTGCGTTCTCGCACGATATTCACGTAGTACGAGATAGTTCATACTTACTAGGGTAGGAAACGGTGGCGAGGAAAAATTTGTAGTCTGCAAAAGGTCAATTGATTTGGATTGTACGCGACGAAAAGCGGAAACGTTTCATTAATCCGATGACCATAGAGACCAGACACAAAACAACCGGGACATTCGAACGGATTGCGACGCACTACTACGGTGATCGGTGGTGATAGAGCAGACGTACGTTCCCAAAACAATAGCAATGCGCGCGGGAATACCGTTAAAATGCGTCTTTTTCAAAATCCAACGATTAACCTCAATATGCGCGGTCGTCGAGGTTAAACTGTTTCGTGGTCGCGGAACCCTGGCCACACTGGTGAACAACCGATCCCGTTTATCAGCAAGCTCGCAGTCGTGCCACAGGTGCGATCGTGATCCACGCGGTTCGTTGGTCGCCCGCCTCGAAGGTATCACACCACTTGGCCGTGACGTATCGCCGACCGGAACTACGAACGTCATGCAATCATCGAGCACACCTTCGACCCGCACGCCGCCTTCTCGCAGTTTTTGTTTTCGTCCTCCCAACGATATCATTTTTTATTTTATTTCTTTATCCTCAGTCGCGCAAACCGTCTCCGCTACTCACCAGCTCTTGAACACCGCACGCTTCGTTGTTATTATTATTATTATTATTATTATTATTATTATTATTATTACTATTATTATTATTTCGTTACATGTTTAGCGGACTACAACTTGTTAGAGACTACGTGTGCGCGCTTGTTTACCACTAGTCCTGTTGCGACTGGTTCGATTTGTTTGCGAGGTGTAACATCATTTGAACTCGTTGCGCCTACGATGAAGAATGTGACCTCTGCTACGAGCTTACAAAACTCTCGCCCGGAAACTTGTTTCAGCTCGTCATCATTCACCACGTTCTTCGCGAATCATTTGTTTTGATGAACGCCGTACGCCCGCTGGTGACATGGTGCATAACTAGTTTATCGGAATGGGTGTTGATGCTGTTTTTGTGTTCTCGTTGTTATCGAAGAGTTGATAAATGGTTGATATGAAAAAAGCGCAAAGCAATACGGTTGCGGAACCAGCTGCCACTGCTGAAACCAGTGAATCGGTTAAAAAATTATACAAGTGAGTTGTACGACGACCACTAATCAGTCATCTCCTTACAATGAATTTAAAACCAACAATAGTACACTTAAGTGTTTTTAAAAATATGATTTTATATTGTAGCAAGACTTGTGTTATTGTACTTCAAAAATGTTAATTTTTTTTGTTTTCCAAGCCCACAATCCTTTATTATTTGGCAACTTCTCATTTTTAACTAGGTACTATTTAAATTTAAAAACAAAAAGCAAATTTTATACAAATAATTGTAATTTCTGATTGGTATGGAAATATCAGCAAAGCTTTTTATAAGTATATATTATTAATATTTATTATATATTTGTACATAATATTTTTGAACAATTGATAAATAATATTGTTGCTAGGTATTATTCAATTTAATTCTTATGATTCAATCATAATCTTTTTTCCTGATAAATAACTAGCTTACTAACATTTTTATTTTGATTAAAATTAATACATTAGTCATCATGATGTTGGTATATGATCAAAACTTAAGAAATAATATTTACAGGAGTATAACTGAAGTTTCTCATTTTTTGGACGATCAACGTGGCAGATCATCATCATGCAAAGATCTTTTTACTGTTCATGTTGATACCCAACGGATGAAACTAAAAAATTATTGTGAAAGAATGATGCTTTCCGATACATTATGTTATGGTCGTAAAGCTGAAGATATCATGTGGCGTAAAACTTATCATGATGTTTATTCTACTGCTAAACTTTTACGTAAAGTAAGCAAGTAATTGATTTATATGATTATGTACTATTTTTATTTCTATATTAATATAACTATAACTATGTGACAAATATTAATATATATATATATATTTGTAGCTAAACATTTTATAATTCAATTTGAAATACTAAACTATAATACAATATAAATCATGATTATAAATTTAATTTTAGAATAATGAATGGAATCACATTGAGTTGGCACTTTTGGAAAATCATTTTCAGTCTGGTATTGGCTGTTACTATCATATTTTATTCAAATTTCAAGCTGAAATTAAACTCAATTCACCTAAATTATTTGACTTTTATTTGTTGACAAATGATAACACAGAAAACCATGTTAAAAAGGATCATATTACTCTATTGAAAAAGAATGATATTAGTAAGTTTTTAATTTTTATTTTTAATTATATTTATTTCTAACTAATTATGCAAATCATAGATACTAAAGAAGAAGCTGGAATAATGCAAATTATATATCGCTGTTTGATATGTTTGGGTGACTTATCACGTTATATGTATGAATTAAACAAATTAGATTTGTATTATTCGACAGCTTTTCGTTATTATAAACAAGCATTAAACTATAAACCTAATAATGGACTCCCTCATAACCAAATTGGTCGGTTAGCATTATCAAAAAATAAACATTTAGATGCAGTTTACAGTTATATTCGATGGTAATTTATAATATAATGTAATGATTGTTTAAATTACTAATTTATGTATATATTTTTAGTGTTTTTAGTTTTGAGCCATTTGAAGGAGGAGAAAAGAATCTAATATTATCCTTACAACCATCTGAATCTGTTGGAAATATATTTTTGGAGAAACTATTTGCTGTTTTTCATTTATGGTATACTGGAAAAGATAATTCACAAGAACTAGATAAAGTAAATTTTAATTTTATAATAATTAGTGTGTGTCAACGTCTTTTGTCTTGGCAAATAACTTTTGTTCTTAGTAATATTTTTAAAATCTGAATTTTTCATATTAATATGTTCTTATAATACCACTTGGCTAAATATATATGTAGAATCTCTATATAAAGATAATGATTCTAAGTTATCGATCCAAATGCAATTGAGACGCACAGGAAAACATGACGACTACAACTATTTTAAGATCAAAATTCTAATATGTATTAAAAATCATGAAATCAATTATAGCACTGGGACCAGATAATATAAATACAGAACTACTACAACATGTCGACTTAAAAACAAAAGAAGTTCTATTTAAATTAATACATGATATATACAATAAAGGAACTTTTACAGACGTCATTAATACTATTACCGAAAAAAAAAGGGGCAAATTAATGCAATAACCAAAACCTTAAGCCTATTATCACATGTTTCCAAATTCCTAACAATAATTTTAAATAAAAGAGTTGGAAATATAATCAAACAACAGCTAGATTACGATCTGTATGGTTTTCGAAAAAAATAAAAGATCCAGGGAAGCATAAATAAGACTAAAAATAATACTAGAAAAACAAACAGATACACAAAAGAAAACTTTTATAGATTTTTTATATTTAGAAAAAGCTTTCAACAATATCAATTGAAAAATACTATTTAACATAATAGATGTTGAAATAGGCATTAAAGATAGAAATACTCTATACGCAATGTACAAAAATCAAGACACTGAAATTAAAATCAACTCTACAACAAAGACAGTTGATATTCTGAAAGGAGTAAAGCAAGGATGTGTACTGTCACCCTCTTTATTTAATTTCTATGTGGAACAAGCGATAAGAGATATATAACAAAAGCTAAAAGAACAAAAGATAGGAGTAATAATAGGAGGTATCCTAATATCAATGATACAATATACAGATAATATAGTTTTGCTTACTACATCTAAAAACGATCTACAAACAGCACTTATTGAAATGATAACATATTTCTAACATTCAAATTAATATAAATATGGAAAAAACAAAAGTAATGGTATGCAATGAACAAAATAAACCAAACATTAGTATTAATATATCCCTTAGAGGATATACAGAATAGAGAACAGAAATAACAGAATAGAGCAAGTAAATCAATTAAAAAATTGAGCAGCATAATAAGTAATGATGAAAGATCAAAAAAATAAATAAAAAGTAGAATATGTCAAGCAAAAAAAGGATTCCTACTTAAAACTAAATTACTAACATCAACAAATATAGATCTTAGAACAAGAAAACGTTAAATTAAAACATATGTATGGAATACAATATTATACGGTAGTGAAACAGGATGTTAAACAAAAAAGATAGATCCACTTTAGAAGCTTTAGAAATCTGGTGTTAGCAAAAAATGGAGAAAATAAAATGAATGGAAAAGAAGATAAACGAAGAAGTATTATATTTAATCTTATATAATAATAGAATAGAACATTGCTAAGCAATTTAAGATCAAGGTGATGGTTTATGATAAGTCATATGCTAAGACACAACAAAGAACTCCATAGCCTCATACTGGAAGGTATAATAGAAGGAAAACATGGAAGAGGTAGGCCAATAATTTCATATAAGTCAAATAATCAAAGATGCACGAATCGATTCATACAAATAACTCAAAGATAAAGCACAAGACAGAGAATCATGGAGAAAACATTTATTTTATATATATTAGACCAATCTACGGATTGAATACTATAAAAAAATAATACCACTTATTTTATATTCTTAACTTATTAGAAACTATTGTAATTCGAAAATAAATTTTCTTAAACTTAAATAGTTAAAATACTAGTTTATATCAAACAAGTAATAAAATAACATTAATGCTTATCATAGTTAGTATTTTATAATAAATTATATTGGTATATATCTTTTATTTTTATTGTATGTGTTAATTAATTATATGTTTAATTTATTTAAAAGAACTAAATCACATTATTTTTTAGATGTACTCAAGCATTTTTGACATTTTGCATAATACTGATGACTTTAAGAACAAAAATGGCTCAGATGATAAAAAAATAGACATTCAAAAAGAAGATATTACATCTTCAATCCAGGAAACTGTACAGGCAATGTTGACTAATGAAAATGTATTCAAAATTGTTGTCATTATTATAGCTTGTTTAAATAAGCTACATCATTCCGGTAATTTAGATTAAAATAATTAATTTTAAATTATTGTATTGGTTTCTGAGTGTTGGATTTTTTTGTTCATATATATTTTTTAAATTAATTACCTTATTATTTTTATTAAATATATTAGAAGTACACTAGAATGCTGAATGTGTATTTAATTTTTATTCAACATGACAGCAAATTTTTTTTTATATTTTTACATTTTTTTTTTTTTTTTTTTTTTTTAGATAAATAATTGGCTACCTAAAAAATATTATGAAAGTTATCAGTTTAAAAAAAAAACCTAACTTAAAAATTAACGTGTAATTTTCATAGTTCAGATAATATTTTTATTAATTTTTTAGTTAATATTTTGAAAAGTAGATAATTGTTAATGATATTTAATGTAATTATTAGAATGAATTCTAAGTTAAAGTATATTAGCCTAGCTTTTAAGTTAATTGAGTTCTACATAGTAATTTCATATTAGAGCACTGTTTATATACAAATAAGTGATATAATCAATGAATCTTTTGAAATATTATTGAATATTAAATGATTAAATGTACAGCTAAATATCCACCATTAACAAATACCAACTGTAAAAAATAAGCATTTATCATACACTATATTTTAACTCATTCATACCAAAATTAAATATTAATAAATAATGTAATTTGAACACCATTTAAGTTGAATTAAAATTGTATTAAATTATGTATTTCAATTATAAATGAATTTATAAAATGTATTATTTTTTAGATTCCAAATATATCCTTAAAGCAGAATTATTTTTTATGTCATTAATGGATCATTTTATGAACCAAAGTGTTACATATTGTGAAAAAAAATTACCACCAATTGTGAACCCTAACATAGATCACACTAAATTAAACAGAAGACGTCGTAGGCGAGGTTTTAAACAAAATTCTTCCCAAGATTCTCAAGAATTTAGTGAAGAAGGTTAGTTATTATTAAAGAATTACATTAATTATGAATAATATAATACTTTTTTATTCAAACATAAATTTCTAATAAAACATTTATGATAATTAGATGAAGCAGAAAGTATTATAAGTCCTGATGATGAATCAGAAGATGAGAGCGAAGAAGAAATGTTAATATTTGATTTAAAAGGACCTAATGATGATAAATCAAAAAATGGTTTGTACCAACAACAACAAAAATTATATTTTACTATTATTAAATAATCTATTTTTAATTTTAATACAGAATCGGATGGTTCAAATGATAGTGGTACTTCATCTTGTGGTTCCGAAAATAAAAACAAACCAAAATCACATCTATTAAATATACCATTTATTGAAACTATAAAGGTACCAACATTATATTTTTTTATCAGTTATTTAGTATTTAATAATATTGTATTTCAGATGTATTTTGATTGGATCAAACAAAATTTAGATTCAATAAATCTTGAAACTTCAGTCGGATTGTTTAACAATGTTGTTACACTTTTAAATTATTTAACACAAGCCAATATTGAAGATAAATTTGCAGATCTAGATATTAATCATTTAATACTTCCCGAAGAAATACATTTACAAGGAATGACAGTTTTTTCTAAGTCAAAAAAGTATTACGGAGATTATAATGCCAATATGTGTATTAAAAATGAGGTAAAAAAATTTATAAAACTAGATATATTTAATAAAGGTGTATAATAATTATAATAAATTATCATATTTAAGATATAAAATATTAAAATTAGTATGAACTTTTTTTTTATCTAACTAACCTATAAACTTGGATAAACGATTTTTTTTTTTGTTGCTTTCTACTGAATGTAGTCTTATCAGAATTTAAATACTCAGTTCCAAAAGATTTAATAGTTATGCATATTGTTATTAACAGTGGCAGAAACTCTTGGACCTATTTCCCTCATTTTATATCATATTGAATTTTAAAATTTCCCATATATATATATATAATCAATACTGAAAACTTCCATTTTCATACTATAGTAATGTTTATTTTACATAGTTATTAATAAAATATATATAATTAAATATTTTAAACTTAATTATTCAAAGTATTTTTTTTTTTTAACATTAAATCAAATTATGAAGTATAATAATTTATATTGTACAATTTCTAGTCTAACTTTACTGTTATTAGATTTTGTATTAGATCTCTTTGGTCACTAATAAGTCAGTATATTATTGTATTGAAACATTATTTTATAGGGTATGATTCGATTAATAAATATACTACATACTGCAGAAGAAATAGCTTCGAAAAATTCATTTTTATTCTCTTATGATAATATCAAAAAGTGGTATTCAATTTGTGATACTTTAAAACAAGTAAGTACCAAAACTAATACTTATAACTATTATTTTTCTAACATAAGTATGAGATAGAATTTCTTATATTATTAATTCACTCTATTTTATTAAATATAATTTTTTACTTATATTACTTAGCTATATTACTATAAACAATATTACTTAATAAATCATGAATGAAATTATATGCAAACTTATTTTTTGATATATTTTTGATGAGTAATTTTAAAAAAATTTTAAAACAATCTCTTGGTAATATTAGTATTTAATTTATTTAATTAAAATTCGGTAATTACTGATTTATTTAAATCTAAATTATAAAAATATTTAACCATCAGTGTTATAATATTGTATATTTGCTTAAGAAAATAATATACTTAATATATACCTTCTTTAAAAAATTCTTAGACAAATTACTATTTTGAATTATTAATAGTTTAATTTAGTTATTTCAAATTTAAAAATATATTAAAAATTAAAATAGTTTTCTCATTAAATAAAATGTATAGTTGCAAAAAAATTATTTTTAAATGATAATAAGTATTAATTATTAAAACCTTCTTTATCAATATAAATAAGTCTAGATTTTTTTAAATGAAAGATTTATGTAACATCTTAAGACTTTGATATTTCGTGATTTTTATATATTTTTACAAACATAAATTCGTTTTAAACACGTCTGTAGTGTAAGAAAAGTATGTTGTTTATAAAGTATAAGCTTTATTGAAAAAACATTGAATTAATCAATGTAATATAGTGGTCGTAAGTGTTGGTTAAAGTAAATTAACTATGTAAATACAACCGGGTATATACCAGATTAAAAAAACTTGTCTGCCAATCTTAAAGTTCCAATAGAGTTTATAAAAGTAGCAAAGAGTTTTTCTCTTTTGTCCCCCCTTTCTCTCCCTTTTAAAAAATACGACATTAACTGCGACAAACAAAAGCACGAGATTGGAATAGCAAAGTCTGTCTTGTAAATATTCATGATACTGTAGAAAATGAATAAAAAAACAAGAAAGAAAACCTACCCTTTTCACAGGGTGTATTGAGTAAAATCCACCCCTGTTGCAACACAATAAAGCAGTTTGAAGATGTTGAAAGCGGCTCTCGCCAATAACGATTCCAACAGCGTAGTCGGGCTTATATTATATCCTACTTTCTTCTTTCTCCTCAGTTTCTCTTTTTCTTTTCCTTTACGAGCTTTGCAGCTACAAAGTGATCCGGAAGGGATGTGTCACCCTCGGCAAAGCCGTCAAAGTTTTTATGACCGTCGACCCGCCCTCTGTGTGGGAGGACATAACTGTAATAGCTGCCATGCGGGGCCCCAATATTACGCTCCTTACTCGTTTTATGGGTTTATTTATTGCGTCCTCTAAAACTCTTATTAACAATGTCTCGCGCACAAACTGCAGTGTTGTTAAATCTTTTCTTTATTAGAACTTCTACTCTGCTCTGCTCTGCTCACCTCCCACTATTTTGTTTCACGATGAAAATTAATTTTGCGGGCGCGAGCTTAAGACCTAAACTTACATTGACCATAATAACGTACAGCCAATTTACCGATTTTTTCTGTTTTTATGGTTCAAATAGCTATACATTATTTTAAATTAAACTAACAGGTTAAATCAATTATTAGTTTTCGTAATACGTATACGTATACATATTTATGTAACATTACGGAATTGTTGTGCATGTGTTTTCAGTAAAAATTGTATATTTTATCTAAATATATCTTATTATTTACATTTATTTGTTGGTTTCTTTTAAAAATATAAAATAATTAATTATAAGTTATAATTTTTATTGTAATAGTAAATCAAACTGTGACTTGAGGACTAATTAAAAAATAATAATATATTGCACTCGTGTTGCAAAAGAAAAAGTTGCATTTAATCATTTGTTTTACAAGTTTTGTAATTGTTTTCATTTAATATTTCAACGTGTATTAAATTTGGCTTTTAACATTTATCATTCTTAATAATTAATTATGTATTCCATATGAATTTATTGTGTGTAAAACAAAATAACATTTTTGTGAAAAAAATATACATCAAAGTTTGTTAACATCAACACCTTTACGAAAACGTTTAATAAATGGAAGGTGGAACATAAACAAGTATGTTGTTTGTTTATTCTTTGAGAGTTAAATTTCAATGAAATAAAATTTACCCCTTTAGCCCCAAGGGATGAAAGAATCACAAGAATTCCGTCTCCATTTCCCATTTAGCACAGTAATAGGTTTGGAAAGCAGTGGGAGTATAACAAACAAAGCACTACCGTTGTGCGGGCGTACAACCATCAGTCGGGTAATTGAAGGAGGAGAGATGGTGGTTGGAAAAATTTATAACCGTAAAGCTTTGAGGTTAGGGGTCGTAAGGGAGCCCTTTTGCCGAGCGTTTAACCGTATTCCATTATCGTTGTACGGTCTGTCGGTTTTATGACTATATTCGAGGGACGATAAAAGATTCCAGACGTATTAAATACGGTCGACAAAACGGAAACTAAAATGAACATGGACTCGAATCGCAGACGACGGTTTTATCGTCTTCACTCTGTATGGTGGCTTGTTGTATAAGGGGTGGAGGAATCGTAATTTCAGAGCAGTTCTAAAACGTTTTAACCGTTGAAAGCAAATAAACCGAACATCGTCATAAGACCTTTTTCATTTTATCATATTGGTCGTTTTGTACCTTTTTCTATACTATTTATTTTGTTTTTTCTTAGGCCGACGAAAAATCAGTAAAAGACGCCAAACGAGACAAACAGCTCGTAATGGGTCAGTTGTGGCTCCGGTCAGAAGTTGACAATTTAGAGTATAAAATGAAATATTCTTCAAGGAAGAAAAGATTACCAATGTGTATTGTAATTGATGCCGATGCATTAATAAATTATTCATTTATCATCAAGAAAATTGTTAATAGCACTAAATTCATTGTAATAGTACCTGCAATCGGTATGTTTATTGATTGATAGCTATTGATCAAAGTTTTATTTTTAAAATCAATTGTTTTTAGTCATATCAGCATTGGATGAACAAAAAAAATTAAGCAAAGAAGTTAGGTTAACAATCCGTTGGTTGGAATTTCAATTACAACAAGGAAATTGTAACTTGAAATCCCAAGGCATACATGAATCACGGCCCCTTAAGTTGGATAGTCTGCCGAATTTATCAAAATCAAGCAAAGAAATTTGGTGAGCCATAATTTTTAGTTTTCTCTTCCATTTTCAGTATTCAATCTTGTTTAACTTGTATTTTTTTTTATATAAATAGTCATTTTAAACATATTTTGGAATGTTGTAACTATTTTACCGAAGAATATGGTGAAAACACTGGACTTGTTACATTAATAACAGGGTCAGACAACTTATTAGAATCCTCGGATCTTATCCAAATGGCTAAGTCAGCCAGTAAGTATTATTTTCACTCTTTTCTGCAACTATATGTTTAAATAAAAAATATTTTTATTTAAATTACACTTGTTTTTTTTAGAAATTAATGTTGAGCATATTAAAACATTTCAATTACAATTACATATGGCAAAAAATAAAGGATGAAACAATTATTTTGATCTAAAATGTTGAAATTTTATTTTTCACTCAATGGTACATCAAGGTACATTGATGAGAATTTGGTTGTCAAATCTACCGCGCCGTTTGGATCACGTGGTAGCAGATTTTACTACCAGAATAATTAAAATTGAGAAACTCAAATGAAAAATCTTAATTGAATAACTGTTTACATCTATTCATGGTTAAATTTAAATAAAGAGAAAAATCATTACATTTTTTATTGCATTTTATACTTTTAATAGTTAATAAAAAAGTTTCAAATAATAAAATAAATATTCGACCATTTAAAAATTGTTGTTAAACAACATCTATTTCCTCTCTTTATTTTATGCTGATCTAACTTGTCACATTTTTTATTGTTAGTCACTTTTTAATAATTGGTTCATAAATCCAATTTTATTTAATAAATAGTTACTTCTTAAATTTTTTTATTTATTTTATTATTCCACCTACTTTTTGTCTACTCATTTTTCCTTCTACGAAAACAACTTATTGTACACCAGTTGATTTATCCAGTTTCGTACTGAACAGTCTTGGTTGGAGCATAGTTTTTAATAGTTTATTACCTAACACTATTTAAAGCATATTTTGGTATAACTGTTGGTTATAAAACAAAACAAAATTTCAAATGAATCAGTATGGTAATGTTGGTTGTACGCTGAATTAACCAGTTTTCCGTCATGGAACCATTTTTACCAGTGGCAATATTTTTTAAAATCCCTTATTATTGTACATCTGGAATATTGGAGACTACCATGTCAAATTTCAATTTCAAAAATGTTGTCGTTTTTGAGAATTAGCGATATTCAATGGGTGAGTGGTATGCAATTTTTTAATACAGATTTTTATTTATTTATAGCTGAATTACTTGGCGTCACCCAGTAAGAAAATTATGAATGTTCAATTCCTTTTGATTGTTACTCGCTGTAGAATCTATGTCTTTTAAAATGTAAATTACCCGAAATAAGGGTTCAAATAATGATTTGTAATTTATTGAAACAGGTTATACATTAAATACAACCAAAAAAAAAAAAAAAAGCGGTGAATGTCGTTATTGGCGGAGAAAATCTTAGAATTAATTTCAGTAAAATAGACACGTACGCTATTTTCTTTGGTTCCTTATTTTTTCAGTTGTAGCAACAACAAAACAGATGCTCGTTCGGACCTTATTTGTTATACCAGGGTGATCCAACCTATTGTAGTTCGCGGGCCAATTTACACTTTCTTAAACACACCAAAGGCCTCCAGAAGAAAAAAAATTATATTTTGTCGATTTATATTTTATTTTATAATTTTATATTATGCGCACATTATTATATATTATTAATGCTCGCGATTGTGAATAGAATTCACACCATTCATCGCGTCTTATCACGGGAACTCCCGTTGTATTCCTACGTTTTATAGCATAAATGCCGTAAATTATAAATATAAAATGTAAAATTTATACGAAATTTATAACGATTTTGTTAAAATATTATTGTGACTTCAATTTTTAATTAATTAAATAAATAATTTAACTGTGGGGGAGCCAAAAAAAAAAGGCATCAAGGGCCGCGGATTGGACCATCCTGAATTATATTGATAATTCCCTTTGCTTTTTTATGCGACCAAAGGTAGGTAGCCCATATTCTTCTTCGACGTCTAATCTATCTCTGTACCAAATTTCATCTAAATCGATTAAGCTGTTTAGGAACGCTTACATAGATGGAAACATTTTTTGTATCTCATTGATATAGATTAATTGTCTACATTTGAATTTAGGTATATAAATATTAACATTAAGATTAGGTAATTCAATTTTAACAAATAGATACTTAAAATATTGATAATCGAATACTTCTAAAGACTACAATCTCTAATTATATTCAAAATTATGTGTAATCTTTCCGTCAATGTTTTTTTCATTAATATGTATAGTAATATTAACTTTTTCAAATGGCTGCGTCCTTGTAAATATTATTTTACTTATCTCTGGCCGACTTGTTTTATGAGTTTATTTCGAAAACAATTAATACATAAATACAGCGGTACGAGGAGAAAACGGGCTTGTTTGTTTTTTCGTCATTATTTACCTATCAAAAATCCCAGTGCAAAAACGCTGCGGTTATTATAACATCGTTTCAAAGGGCGTGGCACAGCTGCACGAGTTGTGTTTACCCAACGTTCCTTTTGTTTATCCGTAGGAAAACGATTTCTGAAAAGTGTTTACCGACCGGAAGTTAAGTACTCTCCATAGTAGTAGTGGTGGTGGTGGTGGTGGTGGTGGTGGTGGTGTGTTAGTGGCGGCGACTTGGAGCTATGGCAACACCGGTACGGGGAAAGCGGACGTTTTGCGCATCCCCGTCTCGACCGCAGTTCCACGTCGTCACCGATTGTGAAGCCGGCGCCGGAGATGGACGTGCGAAACGGGCAGCGGGAGACGCGAAAAAAAATTATCGTAACGTTTCGACGATAGAGAAAAAAAAAATTAAAAAAACGGTACGAGTGTGAAGTGGTTTTTCGTCGCGTCAAGCTGAGCTATTATATCGTTTCGCGGGAAGGCGACGACGACACGGCGTTACGCATCGGTCGTGTGTGGATACGGGACGCGTGTTGTAATTAGACATGCGGGAGGGACGTTGCGTGCACGCCGGTTAGGGTCGGGGCCACCCCTTTTCCGTAATTGTTTGCCTCCGGCGCTTCTATACCGTATGCGATACACTTTTTCACCCTCTGCCCGCCGCCGTTAAGCCGTTATTATTTCCCGGCAACCCCATTGCTACGCAGCTAGGTTAATACGCCATTAGCGTTCAATTTCGCGTGTGTTCGCCGACGATGGTTTATGTGTGTATTACGTGCGCGCGCGCGCGTGTGTGTGTGTGTGTACGGTGACGGCTCGGGCGCGTGTGTGTTTTTATTTTCAACCCCTGCCGGAGCGGTGGCGGCCGCAAAACGAATGGGGTGAAAAATGAACGTGCACACCCGTCGTGGCGGATAATCCTCGAAATTAATGTCAACAATATTCTGCTGTAGTTGGCGCGGTCCGTGTGAAAAAACTGTTTGAAAAACACGATCGTGTAATTTATTATTACTGTTGATATTATTATTATTTATTATTATTATTATTATTATTATTATTATTATTATTATTATTATT